TTTCACAGTGACATTCTAAATGGCTAGACCAGTGCCAGGCATACAGTCAGACCTCAAGAGACGTGTGTCCAGTGACTGAATTAACCTGACTTACATTTTAACTACATCACTCTGGCTGCTGTGGGGACTACGGATCTGACAGAGTCAAGAATCAAAATAGAGAAACCCATGAGGAGGCTTTCACAGAGGTCTGGGTGAAAGGGAAAGATGGATGAATCAGAAGAGAACCGCCACTCGGGTGGTTGTAAAACCATGTAGTGTCCCTTAGTGTTAGAAAATTAGCATGGCAGGATGTCCTCAAAGCCACGACTAAACAATTGTTTTCTTCATATGGGGCCATGAGCTCATAAAAGCAGGTATTTTTAAAAGCTGCTATCTTGAGAAATTATTCTTACGTACTTGTATGCTACCAAGATAAAAGTGATAAACTGATGAAATCTGACAAAATCTACTAACACTAAAAAATGCACATGCCCCTTGACCTAACAAGTTCATTGCTAAGAATTCATTGTATATACTCACAAAAGCATGTCACACTATATGCAGGGATGTTCACCCTGTCATTGTGATGTCCCCAAACTAGAAACAACTTAAATACCCAACAATAGGAAACTGCTTTAAAAAAAAAAAAAAAAAAAAAACTTAAAAGAAACTTATATACAGTTATTAAATAAAATGAGAAAAGAGAATTAAGATATATTGTGTGTTTAGGAGGATTCTGTTTTTGTTAAAACACACAGATACACCATTGATGTGTGTGTGTGTGTACAATTTTTGATAGAGAAAAGGGAGAGAGGGAGGAGAGAAATAAATACAGATTTAAATAGAAAGGTTTTCTTTTCTTAAAGATATATAAAAAACATAAGCAGTGGTAATCCTTTAAAGAGAGAATAGGGTGGTAAGGGGTAAAGAGAAAATTTTACTTTCTTAAAGACATTTCTGAATTATATCATTTTTTGAAACATAAACTTGTATTTTACTTTAAAAGACCAAACAATATCCCTTTGAGATAACTAGCAGAATAATCAAGAACATGTGTCATCACTTGCTTTCTGATATTATGAACAGTAGCTCCAATGATTCATTTATATACACACGATGAATGAACACACATACACAACACGCACGTATGTGGATGAAAATACAACTGGATGTGAAGCCTGTGGATACGGAGGGCCAGCTGTATTCATTGTGCTACGCCATTTCATAGAAGGGACTTGAGCATCTGTCCCCCGCGGGTACCAAGGGATGACTTTCTCTGTCAAATGCAGTGGGACAGAGGCCTTTGATTCGAAAACAGTAGACAGAGCTCATATTCCTTGGTGACTTTCCATGCTTTAGATGGAAGTGTTTAATTTGTGATTACACAATCTGAAAACAATTTTCAACAAAGCTTGATGGATCTTTGCCACTATTGCTTCACTGACCATTTTTCGTTCTCAAAAATAGCCACGAACTACTCCATTGCTTCAGAAGCATGCATGCACCTTTTAGTCTATCTTAGCTGTGCCGCCATTTAATGTTAAATAAGTTCTATTCCACTCAGAAGGTATAATCTTTCTCATTGAAGCTCTGTTGGCTCCTAAGGAAAAGGTACCATTCAAAAGTAGATGTGTATCACTTTCTTAGATAAGAATTTATTTTACTTATACTCTAGGGGCTTCTGTAATAAAACAGAAGTTACCTAGTGAAAGGGAAATACCACCTCACATATTCTTAAGAAAAGTAGTACCTGTTGCAGATTTTAAAAAACTACATTATATTCAAACAGCTCTTTCAAAGGCAATTAATTATCCTGCCTTTACTTCAATCACCTGCCTACTCTAGGCTATAACAATGTCTCTATAATGGGGGGTACTTTGTTTACAGAGTTCGCTCTTTCTGCTCTAAACTATTTCTAACTTTAGGAATGTGAAATGTTTACCACATCACTTTTTTTTTTCAGTTGTAAATGTATTTCTAAAGCAAGTATTCTAATTACCTTTTACTGGGAAGTTGCAGAATAGTTGGGTATTTTGCAAGTCAATTTAGGAGAAAAACAGAAAGCCTGGTTAAGTCCAATTAAGTGAGGTTGAGCACTGCAGGTCTAAACACACAGACAGAGCCTACACTCAACCCCTCCTGGGTCCCACATTGTCATGTTAACAACAGCAAACAAAAGGTCCAAGGGAGGGAAAATGAAGATTACCTGTCCCACCTTAAACTAGGATAGAAGTTCTCTTTTTCAAGACCCACCCAGAGGGAAACATACCAGCTTTAAAAGTATTAGTCACCACCAGTCATTCGCATTTTTCTACCCAACCAAGACTAGAAACAGAGAAAAGCTTTATCACTGAAGAGCGCTATCCGGGAAAACAACAACAACAACAACAACGTAGTAAACTACATAGCAATGTTAAAGCTGTGATGCCCCTAAAAGGTGGGATCTAGAACCACTAAAGTGATTTCTGACCGTGGGGGCGTGGGGCAAGGTAGGTGAGCCTGGAGAAAGGAAACTCACAAGAAACAAAACCTGAGGTTAGAAGGTGGGATAAAACGAATGAGGATAAGCTACAAAACCTGAGGTTGGAAGGTGGGATAAAACGAATGAGGATAAACTACAAAAGCTGAGGTTGGAAAGTGGGATAAAACAAATGAGGATAAGCTAGGGTGGTAATACAAGACCAATCAGACTGAGCGGAGAGGGGAACTCTGCTGAATCAAGTCCAGCCTCGCAGGTCTCAGGGAGTTTAGCTGATGATACCAACGGCCAGCAGAACGGAGGAGACTGCCTGCCAGGTCACTCTCTCGCAATGCAATCAAGTTTCCAGAAGCTCAAAGCTCAAATTGTTAGTGACTTCACCTGGTAATTACCAATACACCAAAAGCAGTGTTTTGAAAGGCAGCACCCAGGCCTGTGGAATGCCTCTGAACTAGATTAAACCACCAGGCTAGTAATTAAACTAACTTTATATGGGAGAGGTCTCTTGCTCAAACTTGAGCAATCCTGCTCATTTCAGGAAAGCCATTTTAGAACAAAAGTGTAAACAAGAAACTTGTGAGCCTCGATTTCAGCTCAGATACCACCGTTGGCACCTCTATTCTCCTAACTACAAAATTAGGAGACCAACTACTTCCAAGGGGTGTTAAAGGGGATTAAGATTATGAAACACTGTGAGGATGAAAAGGACTAAAACTCAGTCTTGTTTCGTTTGCAGGTAGCTTAACAGTCTCTGTTTCTGTGTCAGCAAACAAGTTTTTACCATTTTATCCATCTAGACATTTCGGTAGCAGTCACTGCCATAGGACCTAAGCGCTTTGTACCAGACAACCCACTGAAAGACTGCTTGGCAGCTTGTCAAACACATCGTGTGACAGTCTGCAAGAGACTAAAAATTCAGAACAGAAGATGATTTTTCTTCAAATTGATGAATGCTATGCCTCATGACAATACTGTTTATTTCTTACAGCTGGATAACAATTTGGTAAATGAAACAGCTATCACATTGTGTTCCACTGCACGATCACCTTGAGCATTTTAAGTGCTACTTAAAACAATCAGCACGCTTATTCCTAAACACTACAAGATGCCTAAATATAAGGCCAGGCTTCCCCAAAAAACTAACCTCAGAGAAGAGGGTGTCACGTAATATTTGATCCTCACAGAGTCTCAGATCTTGGGGTACTCTTCCAACCACCTGACCTTGAGAAGTACAGAGCTCTACTTGGGGAAGGCAGATTTACCTGAAACAACCTCAGTTATTACTAACACTGGATGTTCACCAAGGTCACCTAAAAAACTGACTTAAAAAGAAAAGGGTAAAAAAGTATTCCTGGGGAATACTTTTACAAATGCTGTGCTGAATGTCAGAGCAAGGCATTTAAAGTTCACTCTAAAAAGCAATATGTTACATATGGGACCATTATATATCCATTCAGGATAAACTGGGAATAGAAAAGAAAGAAAGCAACTGTCGTAATGATATGTGTCTGTGGGCCAAAATTTCTAGGGACAATATTGCCCAGAGTCCAAAAGTGACTTCCTCTTGACAGCTTGGAACGAAAATGAAGACAATGGACTTTCCAAAACCACGTGAATGGCTGATTAAAAATGTGGATTAAGTGGTGATCAAGACGCTGATTCAAAATTCATATGAGAAACTTGAATAAAATATTTCTTGATATGTGTGTATAGAAAAAAGCAATATTAATTTTATGTAATGTGATTTTATATATCTATGTGTAAATAAATGAAAACCAACATTTTAAGTAGTTGTTTGACTTACCTTCCTATATCCCTAAAGGTTTACTTTATTCAAGTTGGCCATGAAACATTTTTTTTAATCTTCTCATTGAAAAACGGTGAACACCTTATGTCTGATGAAGCCTTATAACAGGGCACATATGAAGCTAATTCTAGTTCATTACAACTTCTTTGGTAGAAGAGTGTAAATAACAAATTTCAAGAATTTTCTATAATTTTGGTTTTGCGATAATTCTGAAAAACTGTTTTCTAAATGATAAATGGTTAAGATGCAGAATAATTATGAAAAGGCACACATAGGGATAGGTTTGGAACGTACAGGATCAGAACATAAATTCCTGACCTGGAATGGGCTTCGCGTGTGTGGGTAAACTGAGCTCAGCCCATCTCCCGAAAGATGGTGCCCTGTGATCCTGGCAGCTATCTTTCATAGACAACAGCACTGAGAATTAGGTTTTCATATCAGTAACAGACCCAAACAAAACTCCACCCAGTGCTGCGGCAAAGAGCTGTGAACTGAACAGTGTCTGTGGGGGTCATGACATCATACTCATCCTTGATTTCTGTTTTCTAAGGACAGTTATTTGGCAGATGGCAGGAAAGGACACCTCCTTCTAACTGGCATGAAGGTACCCTATGAGCTCCGGCAGAAGATCTTCTCTAGGTATAGAAATGTGAGGAATCAATTTCATGCCTATGAGCAGTTACTAGTTTAGGAGATGAGCATATACTCAAATAAATGATTGAAAAGAGTTACCTTGTAGATCCCAAAGAAGCCCAGGTCCCTTAGGACAGACAGAGCACTGACTCGGGGACCAGTGGTGATCTCTCCAGCCACCTGCAAACGGATCTTGACAATTTCCAAAGGATTTGTGAAAATCACCTGGGAGGCTCCTGCCTAAAAGGGAGAAAAAGAAAAAGATTTAGTATAACGCGGGGTGGTTCAGAAAGAGATGAGTGATTCTCTTCAAAGGAGCTCAGAATATTCTATTCTCAATAGACTGTAGTTTCAATCCTTGTCCCATCAATTAAAACAGCGATTATGAGTTTGAAGCAAAACATAGTTACTGCCTGGGAGGACTTGGATCAGGCTCTATTTCCTTCATGTGGAGGGTGAAAGAGCAAAGACCAGAGACTTGGCCCAACACAGAGAGGCTTCTGTTGGCCTCACCCAAGTCCTCACACTAAAATGACAAACATTCCTTGAAGCACAATCAACCCGCCACAGGACTCAAAGCCAAGCACACAAAGGCAGCCATAAAATGAAAGTCAAGTGGTAAGTGGTATCTAAATAAAGGGACACGAATCTGCCTGTCAGAACAGGAGGGGGGCAGAGAGGACACAGGATCTCGCATGATGTACTTCCTAATTCTGTCAATATTCCAACAACTGCCAGAGGACATGCAAACTTAGATGAAAGCTACTTTTTCTTCTCTTAAAAAATCAGATCGCTCATCAAACACCATTTTATGGACTTACGTATTATATTTACATATTATCTGTGTATAGAATTGCTCTTTTCATACAAGATAAATGTCAAAGTAGTAAAAATATGCATTAAATCAATTACAGCCCAAACTGTGAACAATGTGTGTTCATTCCAGCAAATGGCTGGGTGCCTCACCTCTAAGATCATCAGTGGAAATCTCTAAAGTGCACACTGTAAGGGGAATTTTAAGCGAGCTATTTTGAAGCTAAGCCTATATTTATTATAAGCAATTACATTCTTACTGTACTTCATATTATAAGCAATTACATTCTTACTGTACTTCAACTTGTTATTCCTTGTCTCAAATATATTTTTATATCATCTAAACTAAGGCTGACATAGAACGTACTTCAGAATCTTCATTATACAGCGACGTCACCGAACCAGACCACAGACATGGTGCTGACATTTATAGCTTAGCAGATGCTGTCACGGTAACATGCACAGTTTGGGTCAATATCATACCAAACTACTTCTCGCCAGATCCTCTGATCCTATCAACCAACGTGCGTGCCTTCACAAAATGGCTTGTGCTAATCAAAACCAGCTGTTAGGATGGTCTTTAAAGTACAGTTTAATACCTGGAAATAAAAATTAGAAACATAAACATGCACTGGGAAGGGATAGATTAAATGCATTTGAGTATGCTCCTGAAATGAGATATTATGCTGCCAATAAAAATAAGGTGGGAAATGGTCAATACACATTGTGAAGTAAAAACTCTCAGATGCGTAAATGCACGTACGCCTCTCCCGCTGCTATCCCTGACCATCATGTAAAAGAGAGACACCAATGTAGTGCTTTTGAGGTGGTAGGGTTACAGATTTCTTTTCTGCTGTGTTTTTTGTTTCTTCTGCATAGATCATGTGTTACTTCTATAAAGAAGTCATGTAGCAGTATTCATTTTTATCTAATATGAGAAGCAACATTAACCAAAAAAAAAACAAAGAAAAATGTTCATCCTTTTAACTCTCTCAATCAAATCGTTTTTCCATTTTTACCAACTTGATACCTTAGTCAAGACACATTTGTTCCTAAAAACAGACGAGGATTTTCCCTCTCTCCACACATTCAAACTATGGAGAAGGCAGTATTCCCCTGTGTTTAGACTGCCACAGGCTCCCTCTCTGTACTTGCTTAAATCATGTTTCACCCATCACCTTCATCTCTCCTGAGTGACTCTACAGAAGTGGTAGGAAAAACCTGGGTTGTATTCACGAAAAGGCCCACAAAAGGCCCTTCTAAAGTGGGAGGGAGAGGATGGTGTGTTCTTCTGGTCCACACGAAGCCATTCTGCTTCCACTGCTCCCAGGGCTCAGAAGAGCCATGCTTTGCTCCCAGGCTGCTGTGACCCGCAGGCAGGTGGGAAGACCAACCCCTGCAGCCCTTGAGTATTTTGTGAGTTGGCACCTGCGTCTTTCCAAGCGACACCGAGGGGGTTGCTGATGGGAGCCATAATGAAGAGATGAAAAGGACCTGGCCTAGTAACAGCACTGAGGGTACAGTAAGGATTGTGTCTGTGCTTCTGGACCCGAGTTCTCATGTTGTGAAAATGAATACAATTTTACAAATTGTTTCATGGGGCAGAAGGGCTGGGAAAGATTCGCTGAGTTGGAATTAACCTGAGGCTGACTTTTAGAAGCTCAAAAGTGGGTAAGACCGTGTCTACCACGGGTAGAATGGCGAGCAGTCAGCGTACACATACATGGATCTTCTTGAAGAACAGAACAGGAACGCGACGCACACTCACCAAGTGCTGCTAACAGCAGCTAAGGGGCAGCTGAGTGTCACATGTGACAAGTGATCCTCAGTCACTACTGGTCGTACCATCTCACTTGTTACGAGGATCAAAGAGATGGCCAATGTATAGCAGCCAGCACGGGGCTCAAACAGTGACTCCAAACACATTGGTTTCCTCTCCTCTAGCTCCTAAACTGATGGCTCTCCTCCCTGGTGGCATGTTACAACTGCTTGCAGAGCTTTTCAAACATAGTGACTTCTAGATCTTACTCCTGATAAATAAGATTTCTACATTTGCCCCTTCCTATGTGATTAAAACGTGTGGTGAGAGTTGAGAATCATTTTACTTCACTGCATCATCTCTAGGCTGCCTTTCAACTCTGAGAGGCTGCTTAAAGGGCTTAAAGCTGTGATTTCTAATTCTAGTTTTCTACATTCTTTCAGAGGGTAACATTTATATGTTTTACATCTGATCTCGTAACAAACCTTTTATACATCTCCAAGTGGTAACATTATTAAAGGGTATGATTGTTAGGTATAGAATTGCTATCTTATTCATTATCTGGTATGATAACTAATACCCACAAAAGTTAATAATATATACAATAAAACAAGAAATTATACTCAACTCCCTTGACTCCAAGCCAATTGACAGATACCAATCTTTTAGCATCGCACAGTGAAGTCTGTCTAATCACTAAGGATGATGCAAAAGTTCCCTTCAGAGAGCTGCAGGGAACAGAGGCAGTGGGAAGAAAGAGTGCAGTGATACTAAGAAAAAAATAATGTCGCACCAGTTACTTCTGGTGGGCTCAGAAAGAAAGAACCTACAGACTCAAAGTGGCACATTGTAGAGGGGCTGAAGATGAATCGGCTCTTTGGAGTCAAGCTGGAAGGAAATGAGAGACTCCAAGGCACCAAGAGAAGATGCTTATCATCAGACGCATGATGTCTGGGCACCATCATGACTTGATCGCCGAGCAGTGCGCTACTGCTGCTCTTCAGTCTCCTGGTCTATTATCCATTCACAGTACCTTACCCACGTCCCTCCTCTGCAGAGATCAAAGAGAGCTGAATCTGCAGACAGTGGACAGGAACACCTATTGTGCACATGACGTCTCTGTGCTCCTCATCACTTGAAGGCTCTGGCTGTGTGAAGACACTGCTTTTTGTGTGTGGGCAATTTTGTCACAAATCATTTCCCTGTGACTTTCTGGAGTCTGTGACAAGTAGGCAGGTGACGATTTTCCATACAGGAACTGGCTCCGTGTGGCATATTATGTTTACAGTGGGGAGGCTGACTTGTCTTCAGGTTTCTCAGTATCGTCTTTGTGACTGAAATCTTAGTTGCTATCCACTATCTGGATCCATCTAAAGAGAAACACATATACCTATTGCAGGCTCACTTCTCCTACTTGATCGTTCATTCATATATTTATCCACCAAATATTTATAAGCAATCATGTTCAAAGTTTGTCCTAGCAACAATAAAGACACAAGATGAGTGAGAAAGAATTCCTGTTCTCAAGGAGTTTGAAACAGGAGTAGAGATAATAAATATTCCTTAAGCATCCATCATAGGCTATTAGGGTGTTGCTTTGCATGTATACATATCTTCAGTCTACTCAAAACATATGTTTTTCCAGATTTTACATAAGAGGAAATTGAGGCATAGAAAGATTAAAGCAACTATTACGGGCTGCGCTGTGTTCCACCGAAATTCATATACTGAAGTCTTAGCCCTCAGTACCTCAGAATGTGACTGTATTTGAAGATAGGACCTTTTAAAAGGTAACTAAGGTAAAATGAAATCCTATGAGTAAGCCCTAATCCAACGTGACTGGTGTCCTTACAACTAGAGGAAACCGAGATATACAGAGAAAGGACCATGTGAGGCAGAGTAAGAAGGCGGCCGTCTTCAAGCCAAGAAAAGGAGCCTCAGAAGAAACCAACCCTGCTGACACCTTGGTCTTCGACTTCCAGCCTCCAGAAATGTGAGAAAATAAACTTATGTTAAGTCACCCAGTCTGTGGTATATCTGCTATGGCAGCTCTAGCAAACTACTACAGCAACTTACCCTTAGGGCCACACAACCAGCAAGCAGAGGAAAGACGGAGTCCAAGAAATATACTCCTTATGAATACAAAAAATGGCACATGAGAAAAGATAAGTGAGATAAGAGCTAAAGTCCAGACACATTGCCATGGCAGTTCAAAGGAGGGAGAGATTTCTGCTGACTTGGATAATCTGGGGAGGTGGTAAAACACGTAAGATAATGCACCAACTGGTGACTGAAGTGCAATTAGGACTTAGGTAATCCAGGCAAGGAGTGACACAAAGCGACAGTGACAAGAGCTTGCTACACTTAGAGGGTAAAGAGACCCAGCACCACATCTGTCCAAAGAGATTTTAATTAGAATGATAATTATGATGAGATCAACATTATTGTCCCGCAGCATTTACTGAGTACTTACTACGTACCAGGCATCGTGCTAAGAGCTCTGTAAGAATTTTCTATTTTGGTCCTCATAATGTCGTAAGGTAGGTAATAATATTATTCCAGTTTTATAAGTGAGCAACCAAGGCTGAAAAGAGGTTACGTAACTTGCCTGAGGTCGTCACACAGCTAGGAAGGTGGAGCCTGGGTTCAAAGCTAGACCTGCTGGATG